TGCGGGCACTGGTACATAATGGTTACTATCAACAAAATAATATAACTTAGAACTCGATTGTCGATAATCTTGGCATCGTCTATATAATTTTGATATATATGTATATCATCGTGCGTATATATCAAAAAAAATAATATCAGTCGAGATAAATGAAAGTTATGTCTGGGAACACTGTAGATGTAGTTGTAGTGAACAGAAATGTTGCTGTACGAGTTGAAATACATTCACTGCTAACATGTTCGAAGCATTTGCTGATGACGAACAGTGGCGCAGTCCCTTCACTCTAAAAAGGCAGAACTTTCAAAACAGGTATGCTTCATTTGTAACAGATAGTTTTTTGGATTCGACCCAACCTGCTATAACAATGCATGCTTATGCTCTTTCTCCCTTTGTGAACCGGAGAAAAAATCAATATTCTTGAGATGGCGGTGTCTTGAAGCTGTTTTCATTTGCAGCTAGTTTTTTCGATCTTGAAGGCGGGAAGTATTCCTCTATTTATTCTGCTGTCCTGCTTATTCAACTGCATATAATATCAATTATTCCACCATTCTCCTCAAGCTGGTGTGCTGCTTATTCTATTCTCTTTTCCATGGCGGAGATTTCCAATCCTATTCTGCTAGATTTATTCTAATTTGGATAACTCGAATATTTTTGATATGTTATCTTAAGTCGTATTCGTAGATCATGTGTGCGAGAGTAAATTGTGCCTTATTTGTGCGTCTTCAAAACCCGTCGCCCACGAGCTGCAGCTATGGGAAAAGGAAGTGGACTGGAGTCGACCAACGCTAGTAGAGGACATTACAAACAAAAGAATGCGCTCTGCTGGGTAGTGACAAGATATAAAAGGCAGTTGAGGTGATAGAAAGCCAGTACAGGAACCAGATGGGAGCAAACCCTAAAGCGTATATTAGTGCGCGCAGCCTACGCCGGCTGATAGGCTACGGGAGCCGAAAAGAGCTGTTTGAGCTTAAAGCCAAAAGGGCTAAACTGAAAGAAATCCCAAACAAGAAATTTCCGGGGGAAAAAGACGACTTCTGGGAAGATGCGAAGAGGTCATGACACTGGAGAAAGCAGAAAACGACGAACCTCAGAAAGAACCAGAACAAGCGGCCCACCTAAACAACAAATCAGGAAAGCCCAGAACAAGGGCAAGAGATAAAGCGCGGTGAATCATCGTCGTCATCGCCATGGCTCCACTACACTGAAAATAGATGTGGCTTTGATGTCGGCTACAAGGTAAGTGCGCAAGAATAGCGTCACTTTGAAGAAAGAATAATTGGAGTCTGTGACTGAGCCTCCTGGATTACCACCAATCTTCAAAGCACCGCTTGTGGAGAGGCAGTCACTGTGCGGTTTTTTGACGACGAATTGTACGCAAACTATCGCCAAACCCACAGTCATTGTCCCATCAATTTTCTATCATCACAAGTCACTAGGTACATTATCTAGGTCACATGTGGCTGATACTACTGATACCAAAACCCAGGTATATGTCCTGTCATAGATTTGATTCTTCCGGTTCGAATTCCTTTTTTCATGAATAAGTCTTTTTTTCGTAAAGGAACGATGAAGGTAAGCTTTTTCAATTTTTCATGCTTTGCGCTTCTTGAAAAAATGAATCATATGCAACTATAGCATTTAAGTTGGATGAGAATCTCAAATTTTGGCGCAAGGTTGTAAGAAAATCACATCCACCTCTAAAACGTTGCGAAAGGCGTATTCTGCAACAATTGAAAACTTGATTTTTCAATAAATATAGGACAGTACCATAATATTTATCCAGTCAGACACTTTTATGCAGGAAAACCTACTAAAGGAGGCAACAACTATATCCAGTGCATCGACCGAATCATGCTGGTCGCTATGAAATCACGACAGAGCTAAGTGTAGCGCAGTATCAGCGTGTGGCAAAAGCATCTTATCAAGTAAATATCATCAGAGCTTTTTTGCGACAAGACTTCGAAAATCCAGTATGTGATTTTCATAATCAAGCAGTGTTTTTGCCATTTCCGCTATATGTCAACCGTACAGGCCATCAAAAAATGTAGAATGGGAGGAGCGTTAACAGTCGACGACGCCATATACGCGAATGAAATTATTTTGCCATATATGGAGCGTTTGAAGGAAGAAGGCATCGAATTCCCAGTGAGAAAGATGATATTAATTGAGTTGTCCTCTTCAAGAGATATCTACTAGTAAGACTGGAAAAAGTGAATTTTTACTCTATGTAGTCGTGAATGCCAAGCTGTTAACAACTTTTGAGACGGCGGAACGTCATCGTCAGCGAGACTATGATTTTGCAAATTTGTTGCAGAAGAAAGGCAAACAATAACACTCAAGAACATTGACATACATTGACATTGACATTGGTGGGTGATTCTGATGATGATATGGACTTAGAGTTTGAGCAAGGTGAGACAACGATGCCCCCGGTTGCACCGCCAGTAAGAGAGGAAGTAGAAGTACAAGAACGTGAAGTCGAAGAAGAAGTGGGCGCAGAAGTTCTGCCAGTTAGAACAGTAGGATTTTCGTACAATACTTTTTCTTATGAAGAGAAAAGTAATCTGACGAGGGTTAACTTTCTTTTTCGCCAAGCCATAAGCAATGAGAGAATGCACCACCGAGAAGCTCGAGAACGTGCGAGGGAGGCAATGATGAACTACGAATCATGTAGAAGGCGCAACTTTATTAGCCGTGATGTGGACATGTTATTAGGATCGGGAAACTTTCCAGACAAGAGTGTAGTGGATAAACTGACGACAGAGAAGTTTCAGTACTTCAAACCCCTGTTTCCAAACCAATGGAGAAATGGTAAGCGTGTCGTGAACATCCGCTGCGAGCCCTGCTTTGAGTATGATGTCGGAAAACGGCAAGGACTGTCTTCACCAGAAGGAATTGAGTTTACGACCAATGTAGAGAGAAGTTTGAGAAACCACATGCGCGCAGACAAAAGTACGCATCATACTGCAGTAGAAGAATACACCAAAACGACGAGCGCGAGAGTAAACAGATATCTCGAAGCTGTGGACAAAGCCCCTACAGACCCCAACGCAGCAGGAAGCCGCCTTTTCCTGGTAGCCTATACTGCAGCAAAAATGTATTTACCTCCTTACCAGTTTCCAACTCTATGCAAGGTCATATCCGATTTGGGGGTAGATATAGGAAAGAGACACCATACTCGAGAAGGTTTCGTTAGAATGACCTCTTTTATCGCCAATAATATGAGACAAACGCTGATTAATTACATCAGAGTCAACCAATCTCCATTTTCGTTGCTGGCTGACACCACAACGGATCCCGGTAGCAAGCAAGTATTGCTTCTCTTCGTCCGCTTTCCTGATCGGATATCGCTGCATCCAACGACACACTTCCTCGAAGCAATAGAAGTAAAGGAGGCAGAAACTGCTCAATACCTTTTTGATATCATCTATTCGTATTTCGAACGCTCAGGATTGCTTAACGAGTATACATGGAATCTTGTGGCAGTGGCAACTGATGGGGCCAGTGTAATGAGTGGTGCGGTAGGAGGACTTCGCGGCTTACTCAATCGAAATGTGTCGCAGTCACGCAAGGATAGTATTATGAGCCGAGGTGCTACACCTGCTGAGTTGCACGCTATACCCGAAGAGCCAGTAATCTGGATACACTGCATGGCTCACAAGATTGAGCTTGCGTTAAAAGATGCATTTGGTGATGTAGGGGATCAGAACCTTTCAAAATGGAGGAAGTTCGCAACAATATTTCTCAACAAGCTTCGAGTTTTTTTCACAGCTACTTCACGACGACGAGTGCTGCTCGCAGCGCACAATACCATGTACGGAGCACTTTATTAACCTGAAAAGGGTTATTCCCGTACGCTGGGCTTCATCAGAAGAAGGTAAGATGCAAATTTTCTATTTTCGCTATTGCTTCTGTTCATTGCAGTTGCATACGCAGTTTCTTGAGAATGTACAAGTATGTCTGGGTGGCTCTACAGGAAATATTCCTATCCGATAGTTTTGCTCGAAAAAATCGTTTAAAAGCATCAGCGTTCCTGCACGTGATAAAGTCCCTGAAGTTCTATAGATACATGGTTTTCCAGCTTATAATCTTGGAAGGCATTTCAAAACTGTCGAAAGACGCGCAGGTAAGTTCTATTACAATGGTATTGATTCAATCACCTTTCAAATAGAATGAAGCCTATACTATATGGAAAGCTAGAAGGGACGTTGATGCTTTACTCAACGACTTGGTTACATATGCTCATTCTCCTCACAGTAACAAAAACACTCTGTCATTTATTGAAGCCGTAGTTTGGAGACACCCCTCTGCAGTAGGGAAATGGCGGAAAGCTAATTCAGTTCTCGGAAGAAGATGGTCAGCTTTTGCGATTTTGACATACCTAACTTTGTTTTCCAGGTTTTGGAATGGATGGCAATACTCCGGAGAAGCAACTGAGCGGATTAGATATAGAATAATAGACAAGACACTTCCGCTGGAATTCAACATGGAAGCCGAAGTACAGCGAGGGCGAGAACAACAGCGAGAGCGCGACATAGAAGAACAGCGCATAGCAGAAATTACTAGAATGCTTTAAGACGAACGAGCTAGTTTGATACAATATCTCTCCAATCCCGCGGAAGCTGAGGGTTTCGACGAAGACGATTCTAGAAAATCCATTGGTGATCTTCAAGTTGCCGAAGACTTTAAAGCTGCTCATTTTACGAACATGGATTTAGAAAAAAGGAATAAATTGGGTGGATGATATTGGCGATGCTCTGAAGTCACGCTTACTGTACGATCGAGATCATATTCTTTACCAATTAGCGTATTTTTCTCCTTTCGCTCTCATGAACTATGACATAGAGGAGGAAGAAAATCGTCGTTCGAGTGTCGGAATTTGATTATCCTGTTGGCAGGATCGAAGTTGAATTTCAGCGACTTTCTGAGCAGCTCGGCACACACTTACCAGCAGAACTGCGAGCAGAGTTATCAAAAGCGTCAGTGAAGATGCAGTATCTCTTGCCAGTTTTGCGCAAGCACATGCGATTAGACACCGCTTATATCACTAATCGTCCAAATTTGATGTCCTTGTTGGCCAAAATTGTTTCCATTCCTATTAGCACTGCAGATGTAGAGAGGGGATTCTCTATTTACTCAGTTATCAGAGAGCCACGAAGAAGCCGTACCATTATGAAGAACATGAACAATTATTTAAGGTACCTTTTTACATTGTCAAGTGTCATAATCCACGAAGTTTTTATAGGATTGCTATAAGTGGACCGGACAAGTTGTCACCATACGAATTTCTTGACTATCCCACAAAATGGAGATCAGAGCAACGTCTACATGTCGACTTCCGCGGTGCAACAAGAGGTCCAGGGAAGAAGTCATTTGAACGCATTCGAGAAGAAAAAGAGTACAAAAAGATCTTCGATCCGGATTGCTTCTACACTCAGTTCTACTTTTCGTTATCTGGAGAGGAACTTGTAGATGATGAGGTTTCTGAAAGTCAAGATAGCGACAGTGTTGAGATAATGCATGAGGAACTGTAGTGTAATCTCTTCCCCCAAAATACACTCTTTGTTGTTTTGTATGTCTGATAAAGTCTTTTTTTAAATGCCCAACTCGAAATGAGATGCTTTGCGCTAGAATAGGCGAGCAGAGCGAGCGAGAGTGCGCATGGAAATGGAGGAGCAGCGTGGCCGAGGCAGCGTAGCAGACGCGGAGACGCAGGCGAGCAGCGCGAGCGAGAGTGCGCGTAGAAATGGAGGAGCAGCGTGGCCGAGGCAGCGTAGCAGACGCGGAGACGCAGGCGAGCAGCATGGAGAGTGCATGTTGGAGTAAAGTGTGCATTGTAACGCGCCATATCCTCTACCATTTCCTGGCAAATCACATCCGGCCCAGGAGTACAGTGCCAGGATTTTCTCGGAGTTCATGGGAGTCATACTGAAATAATAATTCAGCCTCAGTAATCCTTAGGGCAATTAAGACACAAAAAATAAATATGAAACCGAGGTCCGGACTATCGTAGCAACACACAGTACAACACATGTCATTTTTTATTGCAACAATAGGCACAAAGTGTTAACAAGGCATATCAATCCGTTGATTTCAATCCGTAGACGGGGGTGCAGGGCTCGCACTTCCGAATCAGCGTGCAGGCGACGCATAAACGTACGTGTGCCTCCAGGCTATGAACGCCGCCAGTACGAAAAGGAAGATAGCGAAAAATCCAGTGCAGAATCCGTTCACAAAACTTCAGAAAATTCTACAAATAAATTTCATTAACTGATTATTGCAAAAAAACCTTGTACACTCACGCAATAATTACAGAAGGTGCGAACTCCCCGCAGCGCACAAGTTGGCGCATTTCTGCACCATAGAATACATAGGGTTGGTCCATCTAAAATATATAAATATAAGGAGGGTAAGAGTAAAGAGCCACAGATATGAAGAATCGGAGCAGAAAAATTAAAGGTGTACGTGACGGGGCGATGTGAAGACAGACCAATGAACTCGCTCAGTGAATTGTTCTGTAACCTCACTGAGTAACGCGCGATGTTATTCTGAAAATTCGTCTGGGACCGTCGACTCCGGTCGAAGCACTGGCGAATGTGTTGTGCACTCGACTCACAGGTCTAAAAAGCAGAACAAATAAAATCAAGCAGTAAAATATAATTAATCAGTGGAAATTCTAAAAAAAAACCATAAACTTCGTTTCGTTCCTATCCTTAGACGGAGACAAATTGGATAATGATACAAGCCCTCCCCGGAACTCATCAGTAAGGAAGGAGGGCTTTTCAAAGCAGGAAAGGTTACAAGAATCAAAAGCATGTTAATTTTGGCACATTTCAGAGTTTTCTGGGCATAAAGAGTGGAAATTGGAAAAAAGATATCAAAAGTGAGATTGAGAGAAAAAGAAGGTGAAATAAAAACAGGAAATACGTGCTTTTTTCCTCCAAAACATCAGACGGTTCACATTATCATATTAAATGTGACAACGACGATGATGGAGGACTATGCACATCAGGGGCGCTATGTATCAATCACACGATCGTGAGATCGTGTGCTCGCTACCGTTGAGACATGCCCATGGTCAGGTGCGAGCACACGATCTCGCGATGTATGAAGCACACGATCTTGCCACAAGATCGTGTAGCAGCGCACGATCTGTCGAGATCGTGCGCTGCCCATGTGGCGTGTGAAAAAGCGCTGTGTTCCATCACAACCATTGTTTTCGCACGCCTAATGACATGCAGAAATTTGTGAAGCTTCGTGCGCCCGACATCTTCGACCTAGCTTTTCCCTTTATTACCGCCCTCTTCTTTTTCTCAACATTTTCGTTAATGTCGTTCATGATACCTTGTAGCTAAGAACATTTCCACAGTTATTGCTCACCACGTTTTGCAGGAGCGACGCGCGATGCCTGAAATGATCGTTGGAGTAGGTTCAGCTAATCATTGAAGGTGGTGTATCCTCTTTATGAAAGGAATGAAGTGAATGAGGGATGCACGCAGTACATAGGTGAGTCATGCCGTTAGGTACATGAAACTTGTTACCATGAAACTTTGCACCACCATAATCCCGTTTAGTCCCGCATCGTGTTTAAAGGAAGAAACTGCCCACCATGATTACAATTTTGGAATGTTTGCTGCTAACATGATATCAATGGTAAGTTGTACAGACTTGTGAATCAGAGTCGACCGCTGACCATTCGATCATTGGTCTCAAATACTTGCAGGATTCTCTTGGCCAAGAGTGTTTGGTTGCGTAGTGATAGCAGACTCCGGAATTTTCTAAGTGGAAGGTAGACGAAATTTTGATAGAGGTATCAGCAAGCAGCTGAAGAAGATTTTTGGAAAAGTCCGAAGTTCTGCGCTTTTTCGTTCAAAATGATCATTGAGATGCATGATCGCCGTTGCTTTCATTGGTGAGTGCTTTCCTTTTTTCTAACTGCTTTGTTTCTCCGTTTTGCTTTTTGAGTGGCTGCAATGTACAGACTGCAAATCTGTCATTAGGCAACATCTAGATGTAATTGAAAATTAGGTTGTTATACTGTAATTTTCTGATGCAAATTTACTTAGTACTTTATCTTAACTTTTATATGCCCTGGTTTTGGAGATTTGGGCAACGAATGCTCATTTAAAAGCGTAACATGATTCACAGTCGAGTAGATATCGCACTCAATATAGTGCGCTTGCGGAACCGAGATTTTGCGGTGGATTTTGAGCGCAACAAATAGCCATGCTGGTTATGCCGATTTTGCACACGCGGATGACCGCCATTACTGGTGTGGCTATTCGATTATGCGCAAATTTTACCGCTATGTCTCGGCGCCGCAAGCGCACTATGTTAGGCCCCGGACAGACTTCACGCGATTTGATCGTCGCGATCTAATCGCCAAGATTTCCATTCATTTTCATTTCACATTAAAAATTTCGGGCCGGAAAAGTATCACAACCGAATGCAAGTTGATCGGCATGTTATGATGTTGTAACAGTTGTCTCGTCGCAATTCAGTCGCGACGATCTAATCGCGTGAAGTCTGCCCGGGGCCTTGAGCGTAAAATCTACTAGACTGTATGTTTTGAGTTTGTTGCTATAATCTACGCATTTAGGCTGCTATGGCGTCAACGCTAAATATCGTGTTCACACTCTTTATTTGTTCCATAGTTGTGTTCCTTGGAGATGACCAGCTGCGGCTATATCTCGCGCATGAAAGAGATTGAGTGAGTTTGGTTGATCTCGAGTGCTTTGTTATCTTAAGCACATGCTTTAGATTGACTTTCAGTTACCTGGTGCTTTCAATTATATGGTACGCCATTCTCGAAATGCAGGAATCACCCAAGAATCCGCATCCTTAAAACACATTTCGCGCTGTTGTTTCAAGCACCCTGAATGCTTCTATTGCTCATCAGCGTAATGCGTAGTACTTTAATGCCACATTGGGTCTTAAATCCAATAGATTTTCCTTTTCCTACTTACATGAGATAGATGTTTGCGCTGTCAACAGTTGTTTGCTGTCGTGCTCCCACTAGAGTTCTTGGATTTTCTTAGGTATTGATGTAAAGATGTAAATATGTCATTAGAGCAGTCGATAAACCTTGGCAAAGTATAGTCAATTAATGATTTCCTGTAAGCAGGGCCACATTAAATCCACCTTCGCTATTGGTTGAATCAGTGAACTGAATGGCGAAGCGTGTCGACCAAGTGAATTTAGTGGCATTGGTCAGTTCGCCTTGACCGATGACGAATAAGAAGAAAGGATAACCTTCAAGTATAACGCGTGAGAATAGATACACATACATTTTCTGCACAATCACACTACAATGTCAGTCTCGCTGACACGCCTAGCTCCGTATTCAGTGTATTATATAAGGGTTCAACTTATTGATCTAACCTATACAATTCTTTGTTAATTGAAAAGCAGTCCAGATAGAATATTTCGTCCATAATATAGCGGAACTGCTCCAAAAGATGGATAAAGCACCAAGCAGACGTTTTTTTCCGGATTGGCTTAATAAGTAGGGAAAATCGGTCTAATCACTTCTGCAAAACGAAAATAGCATAGAGTCAAAGCAAAGTGAGAACGAAGTGAGAATGAGTAATATCTCGTCATTAGGTTCCCGTTCTTTTTATCGTGTCTTCAACTATGGTGTCTACAGTCTACTAAAACAGCTGTTTTAATGAGGGTGACAGGACATAGAAAGCAACAATGTTGGTAAATTGATTTTGAAATTTTCATCTGTGTACTATCTACTTTCGTATCCCCTCCTCGCTTCGAATATGCTAGCTTTTTCATCAAAGGCATTCGCCAGAAGGTAAGCAGTTTCCTCGCTTTCACATTGGCAGGTGATGGCCAAATGTTGCATTTGCAAATCTGCTCGTTTGAGCACCGAGAAGGTTAGTAGCGTAGTAGAAAGTAGCAGTCTATGAAAATTGATTTTAACAGCAAAAAACCATTCTAACAAAATGATAATATTCGAAATTTTTCGAGCTAATGAAAAAACCACAAGATGTGAGAGGTCGGACGAGTCACAGTGCTCAGCACAATCAAAGATGCCACGTAAAATTATAGAATTCATATCTCTTTAAGTGTGAATAGGGAGCTCTAGCAAAATTACGACGCATTCGTTCCTTATACTCTAGCTTCGACTGAAAGAAATCCATGGAAAATTCGCTTTCCTTGCGCCACCCAAACCGATTATTATAATGATACTTACAGTAATTATTATTACATTAATCATCGATGTGGGCGGCGCAAGAAAAGAACAGCAAATTTGGCATGAAAAAAGGCGTAACACAGGGAAATGACT